AGCTCAGTTCGGAGGTGGTAAATTGAGTTGTGAACCATTCATTACAATCCTCGTCACATCACAGCCAATGCACGCAGATAGCCACTAGATTTTTTCCACAATCTGATTGCCTAAAACATACAACACACGTGCGTATCACATGCTCTACACCACACGTTAATTGGTCAATTCTGATGATGGCACATCACCAGTAAGTATTCCATTATTCCGGATAACTAATTTTATCCGACAAGCGTCAGCTACAGAATGCACTCGATGAGATCAACATGGTTTTGGAGGGGCGACAGACTGGGCTCTATGAGTACCACTTGTTGAGGCCATGGCCTGGGCGAAAGGAGCATGTCGATCTGTCTCACCTGCAACCATCTCGAACTGCTGGAGCCGAACTGGCATCCTGGACAATGAACTCTCGGTTTTGAGTAATCGGTTGAATGCAGCCAACCTTGAGTGAAAAGTAATACCTGTCAATCCGAATATCCTGTGAAAAAATCGTTCTTTGCTCATTTCCAAAGTCGGGGGAAATCAGTTTTCGAATTCACCTTGAACGCCTCTATCAAAGCGTACCTCTAGTTTTCGATATTTTGATAATCTTGACACTCATTATTAACAGTAACTTATTCTGAATGTTGCAACTACTTACAGATAGTTGGCATGTTGCGAAACAACTACCAACACTCCTAAATAGTGTCAATACATTAGGAGCCCCCCTACTAATTTCCGGTTAATTATCCGGATGTTTCGCGATCCACTACTAATTTCGGACAGCGGTAGTACTACTGTAGTGCGTACCGTGTAGTCGTACTTATTGTATACATATTGACGCGGTCGTTCAGTTAATTACATCCAAAACATATGGATTTGGTCGACCTTACAAATTGTAGGATGAAATCTGATGAACCTGTAATAGTTTACAATATTTGGGAGTACAGTAGTCCCCCACAATACCGAACCCACGTAAAGTCGATATCCTTTCCAAATGTATAAAATTCCAAAAGACTCATACATCCGTTTATAGAGTTTTTTTCAAAATTTGAAATAGTCCACAACACATGATAAACAAGTATTTGGTACTCAAATCATGCCGTCGCCACAGCCGTCGAGGCTACGGCTGACGAACAAAAATCAACGTTGCTCGAGCACCATGAGTCCAATCCAACGCTACGAGGCCTCCGCCTCGCCAATGGGCGCTCGCGGCTTTCCAGCTGCCCAAACTACTGTACCTGCCAAGTCAACTATGTCGGGGTGGCTTACCGCATACTGCATACTGGAATACTTGACGAAGTAGTATACGAATTGACTAATAGTTTTAATAACTCGTAATGTG